TAATAATAATAATAATAATAATAATAATAATAATAATAATAATAATATAAAGTATAATAATGATATGGAATGTTGATTAGAATATAATATGAATGTAACGTCAAGAAAAAAGGATTGTAGATATTGTGCACATGAGATATATACCAAACCGACACATTGTGCAATTGAAAGAAAGTTGGTTTTTTTTGTCTGTTATAAAAATAAAAAACTTTAAAAAATAAATAGATAAAAAAAAGGCCCAGCCGTTTTTTCGGAAGTCAAAAGAAAATAAGACCCGAGCTTTTTTGGAGTAACGTGTGTGAATGGTTGGTGTTTGTGTGTGTGTAAAATACTGCCATGGTTGTTTTTAGGGTTTCCACCATTTCATAGTATTCTTATTCTAAACCAAGATCATTAATCTTGGTTAATGATTATTATACTTCCTGATTCACTCTATTTTTAGATTCACACACTACAAGACAAGTTGAAAAATTATGAGAAGGCTGTATATGTCACAACAGTTAAAACACCTTATGGAGGTAAGTAATTGTCTTGACACTGAAAAAAAAATTATGAGAAGGCTGTATATGTCACAACAGTTAAAACACCTTATGGAGGTAAGTAATTGTCTTGACACTGAAAAAAAAACTTAAAGAAATATTTGGAACCATAATTTAGATTGCAATTATATGCAAGTTATCTGGGAATTAAACTGAGAATAAATTATTGAGGTATTAATTGTTAAAACAATAGATGGTTTATGTAGAAGGTAATTTATATGTAGATTTTCTGTTTCAATAACAGGAAGTCATTTTAACTTTCCAATAATTTTTAATAATAATAATATAAATACTTGTAGCCCTTTTTAGCAGTAATTTTACAGTTGGCTTTTTATACAATCCCAAAAATACCAAAAGATATTAAAGAAACTTAGTAACTTATATTTAGTGGTATAAACAATTTGTAGGAATATTGCAAATAGTTATGTTGTCATAGATTTCTGAAATATGTAAATATACATAGAAATCTGCTCACTATAAGAGCAGAAACATACTTCCATTGATATTTTGTATGCAGTTAATGTATGTGCATTCCTTATTTGAGAAAATACGGTGTTATTATGTATTTGTGTTTGTTTATTAAATTTCTATGCTGCCCATCTCTCCTACAAGGTGATTCTGGGTGGCTTATAAATTATAGAAACAAGTGAAAAGATTACTATGGACCCACATTAACATTTTATTAAAAACTGCACTAAACCCACACTTTGAAGAGCCAAGAAATGGATGGGACCAATGGGGAGCATCAGGGTCCAGGCCAACCAGCAAAGCCAGATTTTTGTACCCTTCAAGAAGGCCAAATGGACGGGGCAGTTATTACCTCCTGTGGAATAGTATTCTACAGGAATGGGGCCAAAGCAGAAAAGGCTCTTCTCTTTGATCCCACCTGCTTCAATTCCTTGGAAGATGAGACCTGTAGTAAATCTCTTCTGCTGGCATGAGTGGGGCAGGCTTATCCCATCAGGGAGAGATGGCTCCTCAATATCCTGGACTTATGCCATGTATGGCTTTAAAGATAATGGCCAGCATCTTGAATTGGATCTGGAAGCAAACTGGCAACTAGTGCAGCTCGTGCAGTAATGATATATGTGCAGCCCTAGGAGCTCCCAGGTCTGTGTGCACTGCTGCATTCTGCATCAGCTGCAGGTTCAAAATATTCTTCACAGGTAGCCCATGTAGGGCATGTTGTAGTAATCCAGCCAAGAAATGACTGGGGCATGAGTGACCATGTGCAGGCTTCAGGATCCAGGTAAGAGCACAACTGGTGTACAACATGAAGTTACGCAAAGGCCTCTGAGCCACAACTGCTCTTTAAGCAGGTGGAGCCACAAGAGCTGTCTGGTCAACTTGCCCTGGCCATCTCGCCCTGGCTATCTCACTACCGGACAACTCACTATGGGCCAAGAGTTACACTAATACCAAAGAAATTGTGGAATAGAATCATTAAAGAAAGTGCAAAACGGGGGACAGAATGAAATATGAATGTCAAAAATTAAAATTATTTGTATTTATTTTAAATAATTAAATAGAATTGTTGAATTGTTCCACAGCAAGTTGTCCTGTGGCAAGTTGGCTGTGATAAGTTCTGCAGTGAGTTGGCCATGATGAATTGGCCACAGCAAGTTGGCTGGGCAAATTGTCCCATTCCCTTAAATTAGAGCCTTCCTAGATTCAAAATTACAAATTCAAAATATTTTATAAAAAGTTTACCAAAGTAATTTTTGTAATTTCTTAATAGGTTTGTAGTAACAGAGATCAGTATAAAGTCCAACTTTTCTTCTCTGCAGATGGGAATCTTTGCCATTCAGATGTGTCTGTTTTTGGTGAACCAACTGAGTTTGAGTACTTGAGGAAGGTGGTTTTCGAATATATGATGGGTCGTGAAACAAAGGTATACATATTTAAAAGCATTTGAGTGATGATGCCAATAGTTCTGATAATGGTTGCAATATTATGATGCCATCACAAAAGGAGCCCAAAAATGACAAATTTGGATAGAGGAAGGATGATGGGCAGAATGAACTTTCCAACAAGCCATAGGAAGGAGATACATGTTCTATCCAATGGTTTCTGAGAGCTTTTGGTAAAATTATCGTATTTAAGTAGTCTACAACATTATTTAATGTATTAATTACTACATAAAACCCTTATAAAAGCTGTAAAAATAAGCAGTTAAGATAAACCTGGCCCAATAGCAAAATAGTAATCTGTCAGGCTTCCAAGTAATAAATCCATTGCAAGCAAGAACTCTGAGGCAGGTGAATTCCTCAAAGAATAGCTTTATTGGAAATATATTGGCGCATACCTAGTGAAAACCAACTCTGAGGGGCCTCTTGCTTTTCACCAAATTAAAAGTAAACGTTTTTCTCCCAACCCTAAACAATCAGTCACATGGCTCAATAACTGCAGCGTCCGCTGCTCTGGTGACATCACTCCTCCTTCCTTTGGCCAGGTGTGAGAATGTCCTTGATTCCCAGGAGAAAGTCTTGAGAAAGTATTTTATTTTGACTATAGAAGCCCAGCTATCTCTAATCCCTCTCCCTATCCCTTGCTCCAGTGTGGTAACACTGAAGCTCCAAGATAGGTTTGCCGAGGTCAGCTTCAGTATTGACATAGTCATTGCAATTTCTTGAAGTGAAACAATAAGTACAGTGCAGTGGGATTTGCAAGAAACTACAGTGATACCAAACTGACATAGGTGGTGGTATCCCACAAATGCTGAATTAGATACTATATCACAAAATAAATAAATGATGGTATTTGTATGAAGTATGCAAGTCACAGTATTTGTGTAATGTCATATGTGTGATCATTCCTTGTTGTGGTCCTCTGGCACCCTGGGAGACAGCAGCAGAGTCAGACAGTGGGGAGGAACATGGACCAGTCCGGGAGTCTGGGGAGGACTCGGACCAGGATCCTGCATCCGATACAGAAATGGAGCCAGGGCCATCTGGGAATTATGTGCTGACTCTGGAGCCTCCAGAATCTGGGGAGGAGCAAGGGGAGCCTGTTCCCAGTGTGTGCATGCGCAGAGCTGCCAGAAGACAAGAACAGTTAAGACAAAAGAGGAGACTCGGGAGTAAGGCTTGGAGGTAATTGGCCCTCCCATAAGACATAAAGGAGGAGCAAAGGGACAGGAACCTTTTCAGGAAGCAACTTTGTTCGTACTGGTTGGTTTGAAAGCTCTGTTGAATTTGTGCTCCGGTTGGCCTTGTATTGGAATTGGAAATTTAGTCGTTGGCAGCATTTCAAGGAAGATAAAGGTGTGTGCTTATCAGACTTGTCCTGAAGGACTTTGGCAGACTTCCATGGGACTATTACAAACTGTTTTGAGACTCATTATGGGCTGTGAATGACTAAAATTCACAACTGTTGAAATAAAACAAAGGTTTTGGGACTAACATATGTTTATTGGTGTGTCAATAAGCCTTGGTCAGAACATTCCTCACCCCAGCCTCTATGCAGACACCCTTGGAAAGACTATAAACCATAGCTTAATTGCTATAGTAGCCATAATTTTGATCAATGCTTAAGGGCAACCCTAGGAACAACACATTCTTGTAATCAAGGGATAGTTTTATTACTATGTTTAAAGTAAAGCTGTCCTTGGATAGTTGCCAGACCGAGAGCTTCCAGTCGCAATGGTGTAAAAGGAAATACATGACATGGAGTCTCTGTGAGGCACAAACTCAGATAAGCATATCTTCACAATAGTAAAGGAACTAATTGTCTCTTGTAATACTCCTCCCCCTTTGCTCCTATTTATTCCCTGTGGGAGGAGCCATTCAGAGTCCACTTGTGCCTTTCCTTCCAAGTCAACCCCTGTTCCTTAGTTGTTCCCTTCTCCTGACAGTTCTACGCATGTACGCATCTGGAACAGGCTCCAGCTGTTCATCTTTCCCACTTATCTCCAACTCAAAAAGCAGCTGATAAATGTCAGACGGCCCTGGCCACCTCTCTGCCTCTGAAGCAGAGCACCCATCAGAGCCTTCCCCAGACTCCAGGAGTGGCCCAAGTTCCTCCCCAACCTCCTCACTGTCCAAGTCAGTCACCAGCTCTGCTGGCAGCTGGCAGGCCACAACAATAAGTGGACCCATAGATTTTCCTTCACCCAACATGGTTTTGATCACTTAAGGCTTTCACACCATACTTTTTTAATAGACAAAAAGCCTTAGATTTCCTTATATCAAAGCTATATTCCCTGCTGTCATTGACAATATTTGTTTATTTTACTTACTTGCTGCTCATCTCCTGTTAAAAAGGAGTGGAGAGCTGTTCAGGTAATTCCCCATTATGAGAATGAGCGCACACAGGGAGATGTAGTGAGAGTGATGAAGAATAACACACAACTAGCACACAGATACACTGTATAGTAAAATGTAAGTTTTTACTTTCAGTAAAACGGTTAAGCAAAGTTCAACACAGTCCAAGTCATTCACGGTTAAAGCAGTCAGTTTTCAGTCCAGGGATAATCCAAATAACAAAGTCCAGTATCAAAAACAGTTCAGTAACAGACTTACATCAACGATCAGTAACAGTCATTAGGAGGACTTGCTTATTGCGCAGCTGTAGCTTCTTATCTGAGCAGGCCAAGGTCAACCACCCTGGTGAGTCAGATGTCTGAAACACCACCTGAAGATGCCCCACATGACATTATACACACACCTCAGATTGGATGGCCAGTTTGAGCTATCGAGGGTGGGAATGCCATAACTTTGTATATGTGATTTTCACGCCTAATGCCTCAGATCTTGAATTCTTTTGATGCTACCACTTTGATTTCCAGTAAAAGTTCTTTTCTCTATAACAATGGAGTCTAAGGTTTTCTTTCTTGGATTTTGATTGGAGCCTCACTTGATAGTATTCAAGATCTCAGTTTATCAGCCCACCCGGAGATTTAAAATTTTATCTTCCGAGGGGGTCTGAAAAACAATTCTAATTCAGCCAGCGACCAGAAAGATTTGGGAGCTGCTGGAAATACAACTTCTCTGCATCTTGATGCTGAAGGGGAGGCCGAGCTGCTGGCAGGGTTACAGATCAGAGAGAAACTGGTGGTCCGATCCAAATGGTCTTTGGGAGTCGGATGGAAAGTCCCAGAGGAAAAACCCCCAGGGTGACAACTACTAGACGCTGCCAGGGAGAGGATGCTTGGCAGGAGGAACAAAGAAGGAATTTTCTGCTAGCACATGCTTACATCTCTTAAATGAGGCTATGGACGGATGCAAATTCAACGAAAGGTATGAATTGCTGACCCAGGAAGAAACTGGAAGAGAGAGGAGGGAGAAGGAAGCAATGAGAGCCCAGCCAGCCATCCCCATAAATCAGCCCAGGCCAGTTCAAACGGCAACTGCTGCCCAAGCCCTCCCCCTTCCCGGCGGGGGGAGCAGTTCCACGGAGGTGTTGAATTCCAAGGGTTCCTCTGCTGGAAGTAAAATACGGAGGGGATCCAAAAGAGTTAGGATTCTTTCTAGCCCAAGTTTGGAACCATATGGAGGAATATGGTGATGATTTTGCATCAGAGGCAGCAAAAGTGAGATGTGTCACCAGAGCTTTAGAGGGAACTGCTTTGAAATGGATGGTGACACTGCATAATGATAATGCCCTCAATTGATGAACTATGACCTGTTCATGGCAGCATTACACACCCAATTTGAAGATCCACTGGCTGAACATAAGGCTAGCATTAGGATGAAAACGATAAATCAGGGGTGGAGGTCTGTGGCCGAATACACCTAGGAATTTAGAGAGCTGGCATGCTATATTCGAGGTTGATCCCAAGGAGCCCTGATAGACGCTTTCAAGGATGGGCTGAATGAAGATGTTTATCAAAGCTGTATCTCCAGAAGAGTCCCTAGGGATCTGCAACTCTGGTACATGTTAGCAGCAGATGTGGAAATCGATTTGACCAGAAACAGATGCAGGGGTGGTCCTGGCTGGAGCAAGCCATCTCCTGCAAACCCTTGAGAGGCCCCCAAACCTCAAAAGGGTGGATCAGCTATGAAACCCAAAACCACAGTGTGCTTCCAATGTGGAAAGAAAGGTTACCAGGCTGCCGATTGCCTTGCTAAGTTGGAGCCAAAAGGGTGCCGGCAGAAGGAAGAAAATTTGAAAAAGCCCCAGCCAAGCCATGCGAAACTGCAATGAAGGCGGAGGAGGTTGTAGTGTTCACCCCTCCAAAAGGAGAGGGGCTGGGAACTCTGATCCCTTCTGGCGAAAATGAATCAGATTGCGATGATGATCCCAAAGGACCCCATGACCATCCCAGTGAGATTAAGGGTGCCGACCTCTGGCACCCAGGCAAGATGTTGGCTTTGCTAGATTCTGGGTGTACTAGATGTGTAATTAGCTCAGAAGTCGTGGAGAAACTGGGATTAAGACTAAGAACTTTAAAAACTCCCATAGCCTTTCCAAATGGATGGATCAGTAGCTGGGGGTGGCCCTGTACATTTCCTAACTGAACCAACCATAACCAGAAATGTTGATGGGAAGGCATTGAGAGACTTTATGTTTTATTGTTGCCCCTGGGATGAAGCGCCCATTATTACTTGGCTTGCCCTGGCTTAGGAAATGGAATCCCCAAGTGGATTGGAGGAAAGGGCTACCGCACCCATGCACTGATAAGCCACCAGAAGGGATGGCACAGTCTCTAAAAAAGCCCCAGAAGTCCATGGAGTTGATGTCAATGGGCAGTGAAAGTATTGTGGGGGAGGAAAAAATCCCTGAAGAGTACTGGGACTTAAGGGAGATCTTTAGTAAGAAAGGATCAGATGCGTTCCCCCCTTATCACCCCACAGATTGCAGCATTGAAATTCTGCCATGGGTGAAACTCCCTAAGCCTAAATTGTATTTGATGACACTGCAGGAGTTAGAAGAATTACAGTTGTTTATCGATAAGAACCTTGAGAGAGGTTTCATCCAGCCTGCTGGGCCTCGAGTGGCAGCCCCAGTGCTGTTTTGAGAAAAGAAAGATGGCTCTCTTCGCTTGTGTGTGGATTACCATAATCTTAACGGAATTTGCATAGAAAACATGTATCCACTCTCCTTAATGAAGGACATGTTGGCCCATCTTGCCAAAGTAAAATTTTCACTAAGCTTGATTTGAGAGAAGCATACTACTGAGTTCGAATTAAGGAGGGAGATGAATGGAAAACTGCATTTAATCGCCCTTTGGGATGTTTCCTATTCAACATTCTCTCTTTCGGTTTGCAAGGGGGCCACTTGATAAAAAGTGGATGAAAATTGTTCAAGCAGTTAGAATCAAGCAATGTTTTTTTTGAAGATGGGGCAAATCAGGACCTCCTTAAAAGCTTCCATGCATGTCTAGTCCTGCAGTGAAGAATTTATCTCTCCCTGAGCCCACCTGGCAGTTATCATCCTAGCAGCTTTTACAAACCAACGCAGGATAGGGATCTATTTGACAGGTGGTTGCACTGACAGCATTGAGGGCATGTCTGCTTCAACTGGTCAACAGGATCAAATTGTTCTCAGATAATTGGCAAGATCTTTCCCCAGGCATCTCACATGGCCCTGCACCACAGTTAGGTTCCAACTGGGAATGAATTTGAGTGACTTTGTTTGCCAGGTGTTGAGCAAATTTCTCTGCATATGTTTTAAACATATATTTAACCATATATGCAAGCTGGATTTTATCCCAAATATGTTTATACTAGTTTATGCAAACTAGGATCTTTAATCGTGATACAATCTTGCAAAACAATCCTCTTTCATTTCTCCAATCTAAGGCTTATGTACAGTATATTGTCAGATAACACTGAAACAGTGCAATAGATAAAATAACAGATCACCTACTACTATAAATATGAACATTTATAGGACAATATTATTGAATCAGGGATGGGATCCCACCGGTATAACTGCTGGTTCTGTCGCTCTGCGTCACGCGCGCATGTGTGAGTCGCACGAGTGCAATTTATGACCTGCTGAGCTGCCTGGACAGCTGAGCAGTGCTGCGTGCAAGTGCACAGCAGTTGGAAAAGCCCTTTTTTCCTGCTTTTTCAACCGCAGCTGTGTCGCACAAAGCAGCTGTGGTTGAAAAAGCAGGAAATAAAGGTCAGAGAAGAGCCCGGGCGGGTGGGTGGGCCAAAACAGCAGCAGACATAGAACCGGTTCTATGTATGCTCTCTGTTTGCTGCTTTTCAGAGAAACTGGTTCTACAGAAGTGGACAGAACCGGTAGAATCCCACCCCTGTATTGAATATAATCCAACAATGTATCTGAAAATCTATATTAATTTGGAAGGTAATTCCAGGATTATGGAAGGAAAGATTTTGAACAATATGTAAATAAATGTAGGCTAAACATCCTCTTTTAAGTGATTGAATTTCTATTGTTTTTAATTTAGTAGAAGAGAAAATGCATTGTCAATAAATTATTCTGTCTTCTTGACCCCTACCACTTCTTTTCATGCAGACTGGATATCAGTATGGAATGTGTAATTTAAATTGTTGATCTTAAGTAAATATTCCCTTGATTCATTCACACACAAAAATTATATTACAAATTATCATGGGATAAGAAACAAATACATGCTTCTATTTTTTTTAGCCATGCTTCCATTAACATTCCTAAGAATATTGCATAAGATTTCATAAACAAATAGACTTGAGTGTTTGAACACTATTTCCTTTGTTTATGTTTTAGACAATGGCAAAGGTTATAACTTCAGTGCTGAAATTTCCTCCTGAACAAACTCAGAAGATCTTAGAACGAGAAAATGCTCGGACACTGGTAAGTATTGATAAGAAGTTTTGAAGCATAGGTAATAGCAGAGTCAGAATTTTTATCGTAAGTTATTGTGGACAAGCAGAGACTATGTAACCTCCCAAGATTTTATGATAGTTTTTGCAACAGTTGTAAAGTGAGTCACCACAGTTTTTAAGCAAATCAGTTGTTGTTAAGTGAATCCAGCATATCCAGTGGGATTATTATTTTTTTGCTGGAAAACAGGAAAAATGCCAGAAACAGGCAAAAAGGGTTGCAAATCATGTTCATGTGACCACAGAATGCTGCAACTGGGCATAAATGTTAGCAGTTTGCTAAGCACCCAAATATTAGCATGTGTCTGTGGCAATATGAATATGATGATAAAAATATGTGATGTCTATGTCAGCATTTATGTATTTGATATGTAGTTAAACAGGAAGGCCAAGGAAATCTATGCAACATAAATGTGAAGACAATTGGAAGAAACAAATTTTATGAAAATGTTTTAACTTGTACTACATGAACATCTTATATTTCATTCCCATGTGTTCCATATTTTCTTACTTTTTTAGATGTTTTTAAACAAATTGAAATGAATTATATAGTTGTCTTATTCTGCATAAAAGTATCGGTTATTTGTCAACTGCAAAGGTGAAATCAGATCTTGACATCTTGATGTCTATTTAATAAAGAGAAAGTAGTCTATGAGTTGTATTCTTTATTCATTTATTTATTAAATTTGCCTATCTCATTCTCAAGCAACTCTAATTGGCTTAAAGCATCGTTAGATAATTAGACCATTAAAAACACTGAGTTTTAAACATTTATGGACATAGCTATTAAGTTATCTGATCGTTATACAGAAGTCATTTGCCACTATTTCTTCATAGATATGTTTCAACTTCCCAGACTATTCTACAGTCCCCATTTTCCCACTTCCACACTAATAATCTTGTGATTTCCTTTTTATTCCAAACATTTGTGAACCATTGGTCTTCATCCTTTTTAATTTTCCATTTGAATGTTAGATGAGTTAGTAGGAGTACAGTATTGGACCCAACATTTCATTTTGAATTAATCCAAAATGGATTATTTATTTAGAAAAAGCAAAACTTTTATTTTATGATCTCATTTCTATATTAGCAAACCTTCCAAGAATTGTTGAGCACAACAAAGAGATCAAAATTACTGTCAAGTATTCTAATCTAGAAAGATTGTGCAGATGTAAATACAACACCAATGTGTTATACAAAACAGCTTTCAAAATTAAGTATCTTTAATTACCTGGAATTAACCTCAGCAGAATGCTGAATATTAAGAGTAGTGTTTGTTTTGACCAATATCCATAGCTAAAAATAAACATACTCTTTCTGTAGTCACATCTGCTTCGATTAACACACTAACCCAATAAGCTGTTCTTCTCCTGGCTTTATAGTTCACTTCATCTCCAGTGGTATCTTCTGAATAAATCATCAATCAGTGCTTTAGTTAGTACATTGGTGAGTGTTACATAATTATTTGTTTTTCCTTTTCTTTCACTAAAACAGTAGTAACTTCTTCATGATCATTCTTAAGTATTTTTATTGTCTAAAATAATTTTCCTAACAAGCTTTAATTCCTTCTTTATACCAGTGGAATTTGTACATACCTGCAGCCCTAATAAATGAAAATGGCACTAATTAACTAGAAGCCATTGCCATTTACAGTCACAATTTAAAAAGCAGAAAGGCAGTGATACTAAACTTAAACAAATTATACCTATAGGAAAAGTATACTGAATTATTTTACAACATGAAAGCTATAATTTTAAAATTATGAATAACTTTAAACTATTATAGAAATCCAGTTTGCTGTAGTGATTAAGGCACCAGGTTAAATCTAGAAGACTTGAGTTACAGTCCTGCCTTAGATATAAAGGCAGCTGGGTGACCTGCCAGTCATTTTCTCTAAGTGCTATGAAGGACACAGTGACAAGCCTGAAATCCTGCCAAGAAAACTTCAGGAACTTGTCCACACAGTTGTCAAAAATCAACACTGTCTAGAAGCTGGTACCAGCACCATCACATTTCCACACACAAAAGCTATTAAAACAAATGTCCCAATTCATACTAAACTTCAGAGGGGCATAAAGCGCAAAAAGAAAATACAGTCAGTTATAGGTTGTATGTCACTTATGGTACATTCCTGGTGATAGACACCTCCCTACCTTGCAATGTGTTGTCTGTTACCAAACCAAGTTGTCTGCTGTCTTTTCACTGTGTTATTATGACTGTTCCATTCATATGCTGTCTCCCTTAACTCCTACTGCCACTCTGAAAAATAACTGATTTGTCAACATGTTTAGGGGCACTGATGATTAAGATTACAGTATTTGTCTTATAATTAGTTAGCTATATACTTACAAATATTTTCATGCCATGTATTCTCATAATTTATAATATTTCTTATCTGTTTCTTCCCCTTTCCCCCTTTTCTCTCCAATTCTTTCCTAGCTCTGGATTTGATCCTCATGATGAAGAATTTGCAATGTATGCACTTTGCAACAGATTACACAGCTTTGAAATCAGATCAGATCCTCAAATTAGTTCTTTGAAAAATGGAGCAGATAGAATAGTTATTCAGGTTCCACCTACAAATACAGCAAAGGATAGATTGACAATTGGGATTATGAATATGGTTAATTTTTTGCCTTTAAGAAAGATTGTTCATCAAGTGCTATGTGCTTTATTTGGATACAATTTTCAGTTTAGCTTTATAGTTTTTTAAAAGGAATCAAAGTATTTTCCTTCAATAGAGCTTTCACAAAAATGAATGATTCTAGTTATTTTATTGTGGGTTTTGTTTCATATGTTACATATTGTCTGAAATAATTTTGCAATACATTCTGAATTGGGGGTTGGCTAGCTATTTTCCTTCTATTGATTGTTTATTAAAGGCCATTATTTTTAAGCTTTTGCTCAGAATGAATCCAGATTGCAAGACTTCATTTATTAATATATAGCTTTTGTACTATATTTTGGGAGAAATAAATTTACACTTCTATAATTTATAAATAGGTACTATTTTCGTGTATCATAAGTTGATTGATGATTGTTGACAACACTAATATTGCAGAGCTGGAAGAAAATAAAACTTTATTTACCATACAGTGTTGCAGCCTGATGTCCTTTTCAAAAATCAGGGCTTGATGCTAATTGATTTGATCATGTGCAAAGGGATAAGATTTTATTTTTAATGTATATAATGAGAATGATGCTTTTTGTAAACATAGATATGAACAACACCATTCTTTGGCTGACCCACAATAGATGCATAATAGAATGCATTAAAGTAGGATATTAGTTAGGTTGGGGCAATTATTTGATCATTGGATAGTTACTGAATTGAATATCAATCATTGATGTTTGCTATGAGTATTTCTCAGACCATACGGGGAATATTTCTCAGATTGTAGGAAATAAAACAAGCCATCCCTCAATTCCTCTTCAGAATTGTAATTCTGAACTTGGATCTTGAATTGCACAGCACAAAATATTTCTTAGGTTGAAGAAATATCGGTCTCTGAAACTTGCTACATATCTTCACATTAACTGATATTTTAAGTGCATTTTCAGTTTAGCTTTTAACTTGTTGCTTTATTTAGATTTCTCCTCCTTCTGTTCCTATCCTCTCCACGTTGGCACACAAAAATAATATTAAATATTATTAAATTATTTTAATAATAATTACAGGGAAGCTGTATACAAACTACACAATACTGATGCAATATAAAAAGTGAATGCAGAAGATTTAAAACTTTGATGTTATATATGCTGACAATATCAAGAACACCCAACGCACAAAAATGGAACGGTACTTGATTCCCACAATGGACGAATGGCCGCAAAAGCAGAGATGGCTAAATTGACTGCTTTGATTAAAGAAAAGAATACAATTAGTTTTGTTTCTACTTGGAAACTACTTGTGGACTTTGTAATTGAGATAAAAAAAATGAAACTTTGATTTTGTGATTAAATAGTTTGTGTTATGAAAATGAAATGTATATATTATTATGCAAAAGTAAAACAAATGAGGTATCCGTTTTTTGAAAGGCAAAAAAAATGAACTTGGCCATTTGATGATGCTCCGTGAAATCCTTCCTCTATTCATTTTCTTTCCTAGAAAATAATTTAGTGAAACACATTTATAAACAATTTACACTGAAATGTCTTCAAAATAAGTCCTTAGGGTGTTCCTTCACAGGTCTTACTTTCCTTTTTTCTTTTTTTAAATAAACTTTATTCAATTTTCAAATAGTTTAAAAACATAAAAGTATATACACAGTTATACCAATGTCAAAGACATCATTTACATTTTGTAATCTCATTTCTATACATAGTATCTTATACATTACAATTATATATTATTTTCCTTATTCTTATTCCATATTCATTTCGCTTATTTCATCATATACTTCCCATTTATTCTACATTCAATGTATTTCCTATTTTTTATTTAATTACAGCATTATTTTTTGTCCTATTCTTAAACCATGCATACCAGACGTCCCAGACTGTATAGTATATCGATTCATCCTTATCTTTTAGTTTAGGGTCAGCCTGCCCATTTCTGTGCAGTCTAATATTTTTTTTATAACTGCTCCCTCTGGTGGTATATTTCCCTGTTTCCAAAATTGTGCATATGAGATCCTAGCAGCATGTGCAGCTTAATATACCTATCGGTTTTACTGTATTTCCCTTTTATTATACCCAGTAAAAATAAATCTGATTGAAGTTCAGTTTATTGTTTTATTATTTCTTCTAGTCATATTTGAATCATGCTCCAATAGTTTTTAACTTCTGGGCAAGTCCACCACATATGAAAATATGTACTCCTTTCTTTCTTGCACTTCCAGCATTCTGGGTTTTGATTTATAAACATTTTAGCCAACCTGGTGGAGGGTAAGTGCCACCTATAAACATTTTGTACATGTTTTCTCTATGCTATAGACAATGTTAGTTTATAATTTGTCCCCCACATTTTTCCCAGTGTTCCAATTATATGTTATGTCCCACATTTTTCACCCAGGCTACCATTCTTTCCTTAACTACCTCTTCTTCCATTTTAAAATTTAAAAGATAATTGTATAGTTTAGATATCTTCTTTTTCCGGTTCCTTGTAAAATTTTATCTAATTGTTGCTTATCCAAATAAAATCCATATTCTTCTTTTTTTATACCTTGCCTGTACTTGCATATATGGCCACCAGTCTATATCTATATTTGTTGTTGTAATTCCTATATAGTTTTTAATCTTCCTTGTTCATCTAGCAAATCTTTATAATTCCTCTTTTTTGCCAATTCCATTGCATTCGGATATATTAATGCCTCCATCGTCGACAGCCAGTATGGTTATTTTAACATAGTGGTTCTTTTTAATTTTATTCCATAGTTGAATAAGAGAAATGGGTGGCTTTCCAGATTGGGAAATGTACTACCAGGTGGCAGCTATGTTATGGATAAAAAGATTGGATTAATTTGGAAAATAAAAGAATATTATTAATAGAAGGACATGATTTGCAGAGAGGGTGGCATAGTTTTTTATGGGACAGAAAAAATAAACATGCCTACTTCCAGAGGCACCAAATTAGAGACGCACTTATTCAAGTAGGGAATAAAATTAAAAAGAACCACTACATTAAAATAACCATGCTGGCTGTTGATGATGGAAGCATTAATGTATCCGAATGCAATGGAATTGGCAAAAAAGAGGAACTATAAAGATTTGCTGGATGAACAAGGAAGGTTTAAAACTATACAGGAGTTACAACAACAAATATAGATATAGACTGGTGGCCATATATGCAACTACAGGCAAGGTATAAAAAAGATAAAGAAGAATACGGATTTTATTTGGATAGGCAACAATTAAATAAAATTTTACAAGGAACCTGGTAGTACATTTCCCAATCTGGAAACCCAGCCCTTTCTCTCCTATCCTGCAGCAATTTCATTTTAATTCTAGGTTTTTTTTCAACCCAGACAAATTTAATTATTGTTTTATCCAATTCCCCAAAGAATTTTTTATCTAATTTTACCAGTGCTATTTGGAATAGATATAATATTTTTGGTAATATAGACACTTTAACTGCCGCAATTCTTCCCATTAATGAAATTTGAAGCTTCCCCCATATTTCCAATTCCTTTTTTATTTGTAACATTAATTTATTATAGTTATTTTGTTTAATTGATGAACACCTTGATGTTAGCCAAATACCAAGGTATTTTACTTTTTTTAACAATTTGCATTACCAGTTTTCCTTCTAATTCCTTTTTTAATTGCTTATCCGTCATGTTTTTAGTTAATACCTTTGTTTTATTTTTGTTTATTTTAAGTCCCGCAACAACGAAATTCTTCAATTTCTTTTATTAAGATCATTCCGGTTTCCTCCAGTTCCTCTAAAAAAATACTATATCATCAGCAAATGCTTGTACTTGATATTCCTCTTTTCTAATTGTAACCCCTTTAATTTCTTTATTTCTTCTAATGTTCATCAGTAAATTTTCTTGTGTGAGGATAAAGAGTAGGGGTGACAATGGACATCCTTGTCTTACTCCTTTATTTATCTTAAATATTTATGTTTTGTCTCCATTTAATAACACGCTGGCAATCTGAGTCAAATAAATTGCTGAAGTCATCCTAATAAATTTGTCACCAAAGTCTATATCTTTTAATTGTTTTATAATAAACTGCCAATTTATGTTATTGAATGCTTTTTGTGCGTCCAGGAACACCAGTGCCGCTTGCTTTCCAGAGTGTATCTCATAATATTCTAATACATTTATTACCGTTCTAGTATTGTTTTTGATTTGTCTATTCAGCAGAAATCCATTCTGATCAGTATGTATAATTTTGTTTAATATTCTTTTAAGCCTTTCTGCCATTATAGTCATAAGTATCTTATAATCAACATTCAGCAGCAATATGGACCTATAATTTTGAATTTGCTGGTGATCTGAATCTTCTTTTGGGATTAATGTTATGTATGTTTCTTCCCATGATTTGTGTAATTTTGCTGTTGTTAGGGCTTTATTATATAATTCTAACAGTTATTATTTCTAACATTTATTGAAGTGTGTTATATAACCACCCTCGGGAGGCCAACTGGTCCTGGTATCTTATTATTTTTCTGTTTCTGGATTGCTTCTTGCAGTTCTCTTAGTGATATTTCCTTATTCATTGTTTCCTTACTTTCTTCCAAGATTGTAGCTAGCCCCTTCCCTTTTAAGTACTGTTGGATGTTCCCTTCTATTATATCCTCCCGCCTATATAGTTCCTCAAAGAAAGTTTTAACAATGTATTTTTTTCTTTTCCATCTGATGTTGCAGTATACCATCAGCATCTTTCAATTTCAATTGATCTTCTCTCTTTCTCTTTCTTTAACTTATAGGCTAACCACCTTCATGGCTTGTTTGCATACTCAATTTGGTTTTGTTTCATCCTCATATTTTGTATCCATTCTTCCTGTATCAGCATATTCAATTTATGTCTAATCATAATTCTTTCTTCATATATTGCTTTATTATGTGGTTCTTTCTGTAGTATTATTTCTAGTTCCATAAGTGTATTTTGCAATCTAGTTTGTTTTTCTTTCTTTTCTTTATATCTTCATGCTGTATATGAAATTGTCAAACCTCTAGACTTCTGGTTGCGATGCCACAGCAGAGTGGGCAGAGAAGAGCAAGCTCTGCTCTCTCATCCCCAATTTGCACATTCGGAGGCCCCGGCAAGGGGCACGTAGACCCTGGAGGGGAAGA